CCCTGTGGTTCTCCATTTAATTTTTTATTAAAAACCAATTATTTCCCCCCCCCCCCCCCCCCCAGATATATACTATTAATTAATTAATTGAATTAACCCATATCTGAAAATCAAAAACACAGATACAAACAAATATATTGATCATATAAAATAATAATAAATAAAACATTTTATATTATTGTTATAAAAATGGGTAAAATATCCAGAGAGGGAGACAGCGCCACACTGTGTTGAGTGGAAAAATGTCCGTGTTGATCACTGGTAACTCGATGTTTCCTGGTATCACGAGGAAGATCTTGCAACAGTTGCAGACTCGTAACTTGGAAAACTAGTATTTCCGGGAGCTGGTATCTGGAAGCTCCACTGTATTTATTCATGGTTTTTCAGCACCCCCTACTGGTAGACTGTGGTGTGCTCATTAAGCACTCCTGTTTAAGGGCGAATGTTCTGAAATAAAATTTGAGTTTTCATGGACTGATGTTGGACATGTGGGGGGGGGGGTTATACAGGGGGGTCAACTCACCACCTCCAACTGGTCCATGAGTTTGACCAGGAACTTCCTGCACTCTGGTGTCTTACTGTCCAGCTTCATTCCAGTCTGCATGGCATAGAGACGACCTGCAGCAGAGGACAGAGGAGACCAGGAGTGTCAGTCAGTCAGTCATGAGACAGCTTCCTGTCTCCCTGCAGAACACAGACCTGTCTGTCACCCTGTCTGTCATCCTGTCTGTCACCCTGTGACATGTCCAGACCTAACGACCGGAGACCCACAACAAACCTCGTCGAGAAAATCACTCATTTTAGCTCCCGCCTCACACAGCTCAGACCAAATGCTGCTACTGACCTCTAGTGGTAGGTCTGGGTCTCTGGTCTGGACCTCAGAATATGTAACTCATTCTTTGGTACCAATGTCGGTCGAGATAATGAGTGATTTTGGTTTTTATTGATTCAATTGAAAAATAATACAAACAGCTAAAAGCTATTTAACAAAAACAAAACATTAGTTAAAAGTCAGTCTGGACTAGTCTATATATAAACTGCTACAACATATCCCAGAGTACACAAACGTGCAGCATCGAAGCTAAGATAGCTCAAATAACTTCTATATTTAGAAGCTGAAGCTAACACAGCCGGGGATAACTGTGGCTCAAACTAACAGCCACAGCTATAGGCTAACTGGGTGTTCAACGTTAGCAGTAGTTAAAGGACAAGAGACGTCACTAGTTTGACTGTGGTTTAGACGAACAGTGGCTCAGGCTAACCGTGGGCAGACAGCAGCTAAAAGGCTAACAGACTCACAGTAGTACGCCACCACCGGGTCCCGTGTCTCATGTTCCTGGGCTGTTCGGAGGTGGTGTTGAATGGAGCGAAGCGGAACCGGAACCGCCATTGTCCCGCCGAGGCCTCCGTTCACCGGGAAGGGAAGAATTAAAGGACGGAGAATTAAGAAGAAGAAAGAGATGAAGTCGCCACTGGGGTTGTTTTGGTCTTCAACGCTCTGTATCTTCACTTCCGCGTTCTTACCCAATAGGAGCGGCCGTCGACAGATGGCGGATGACGTAACTAGCAGTTTGACGTTTGGTATCAATGAATACTGTGAATGGAATTTTTTTTTTTTTTTTT